GTAACCCCAGCACTTTGGGAGGCCAAGGCTTGGAGTGCTTGAGGCCAGGAGTTCCAGACTAGCCTGAGCAACACAGTGAGATCCCATCTCTACAAAAAAAATCCAAAAAGTAGCCAGGTGTGATGGTACGCACCTGTAGTTCCAGCTACTAGAGAGGCTGAGGCGGAAGGATCTCTTCAGCTCAGGAAGTTGAGGCTGCAGTGAGCCATGATCACACCACTGTACTCCAGCCTGAGCAACAGAGCAAGACTCTGTCTCTAAAATTAAAAAAAAAAATTATGTAGACAGTCCATCCTTAAGGAAATGGAGTATAACCTCCCACACCATAGGTATGAGTTACACATAGTGACTTCCTTCCACAATATCCAAAATGAAAAGGAGGGTCAGGCATGGTGGCTCACGTCTGTAATTCCAGCACTTAGGGAGGCCAAGGCGGGTAGATCACCTGAGGTCAGGAGTTCGAAACCAGCCTGGCCAACATGGTGAAACCCTGTCTCTACTACAAAATACAAAATTAGCTGAGCATGGTGGTACACACATAATCCCCAGGCTAGAGTGCAGTGGTGCAATCTTGGTTCACTACAACCCCTGCCTCCCACTATAACTCCGCCTCCCAGGTTCAAGCAATTCTCATGCCTTAGCCTCCAGAGTGGCTAGGATTACAGGAGTGCATCACCACATTCAGCTAATGTAATGTTTGTACTTTTTTAGTAGAGACTAGGTTTCACCATGTTGGCCAGGCTAGTCTCAAATTCCTGACCTAAACGGATCCACACACCTCTGTCTCCCAAAGTGCTAGGATTACAGGCATGAGCCACAGTGCCTGGCCAGGACCCTGTCTCTTTAAAGAAATAAATAATGAAGTTGATAGGATGTACCCTTGATATGGTGTGATGAAAACAGCACTTTACTTCCTTGATCTTGGTGCCAATAACCCATCATCCCATTCTTACAAAAAAACACCAGATAAATTCCAATAGAGGGATGGACACTGTACCAAAATACCTGACTGGCTGGCACTCCTCAAAACTGTCAAGGTCATCAAAAACAAGGGAAGTATGAGAATCTGTCACAGCCAAGAAGAGCCTAACAAAATCCCTGAAAGTGAGATGGACTGGCCGGGTGCAGTGGCTCACACCTGTAATCCCAGCACTTTGGGAGGCCGAGGCAGGCGGATCACTTGAGGTCAAGAGTTCAAGACCAGCCTGGCCAACATGGTGAAACCCTGTCTCTACTAAAAATACAAAATTTAGCCAGGCATAATGGTGCATGCCTACAATCCCAGCTACTTGGAAGGCTGAGGCAGGAGAATCACTTGATCCCAGGAGGTGAAGGTTGCAGTGACAGAGATCGCCCCTGAGATCGCACTACTGCACTCCAGCCTGGGTGACAGAGTGAGACTCCATCTCAAAAAAAAAAAAAAAAAAAAAAAGTAAGATGGTCTGCTAGGTGGGATCCTGGAAGAGAAAAAAGATATTAGGGAAACATAAAGGAAGACTAAATAAACTATGACCTTTACTTAACAGCAAAGTATCAGTATTGGTCCATTAAATTATAGCAAAGTATCAGTATTGATCCATTACATTATATTAATTTGTTACTAATATGTTAAAAATTTGTAATTAAAATATGTTACTATTAGGGAATAATGGTAACTCTGTTTTTTGCTTGTTTGTTTTTAACACAGGGTCTGGGGGCTCACCCTATAATCCTAGCACTTTGGAGGCCAAGGCAGGTGAATCACCTGAGGTCAGGAGTTTGAGACCAGACTGGCCAATATGGTGAAACCCTGTCTCTACTAAAAATACAAAACTTAGCCAGGTATGGTGGTAGGCGCTTGTAATCTCAGCTATTCAGGAGGCTGAGGCTGAGGCTGGAGAACCGCTTGAATCCAGAAGGCGCAGGTTGCAGTGAGCCAAGATCACACCACTGTACTCTAGCCTGGGCAACAGAGTAAGGCTCAGTCTCTAAAAAAAGAAGAAGGGCAGAGTCTGGCTATGGTACCCAGGCTGGTCTGCAACTCCTGGGCTCTAGAGATCCTCCCACCTTAGCCTCCAAGTAGCTGAGATTATAAGTACCTGCCACTGCACCAGGCCTGGTAACACTCTAGTGCTACTTTGGCAGTATTTCTGCAAATCTAAAATTTAGATTTTCTTATTTCTTCTTTTTTTCTTTTTTCTTTTCATACTTTGTCACCCAGGACGGAGGGCAGTGGTACAATCATGGCTCACTGTGGCCTTGACCTCCCAGGCTCAACCAATTCTCTCACCTGAGCCTCCACAGTAGCTGGGAGCACGGGTGTGTGTCACCACACCCAGCAAATTTTTTAAATTTTTACTAGAAATGGAGGTCTTGCTACATTACCAGGACTGGTCTTAAACTCCTGGCCTCAAAAGATCCTCCTGCCTCAGCCTCCCAGAGTGCTGGGATTACAGGTTTGAGCCACTGTGCTTGGTCTAAAATTTTTCTAAAAAATAAAGACTCTTTTTTTTTTTCTGAGACAGAGTCTCACTCTGTTGCCCATCACCTCAGTATAAGTTTAGAATGTTTTCTTTTTCTTTTGAGACGGAGTTTCACTCTTGTTGCCCAGGTTGGAGTGCAATGGCATGATCTCAGCTCACTGCAACCTCTGCCCCCTGGGTTCAAATGATTCTTCTGCCTCAGCCTCCCAAGTAGGTACAATCAGCTTCCCAAATAGCTGGAATTACAGGTGCCCACCACCATGCCCAACTACTTTTTGTATTTTTAGAAGAGTCGGGGTTTTACCATGCTGGCCAGGCTGGTCTCGAACTCCTGACCTCAAGTGATCTGCTCACCTCAGCCTCTCAAAATGTTGGGATTATATGCATGAGCCACAGTGCCCAGCTTAAAAAATAAAGTCTATCAACAATACTATAGATGAATGAATGAAGTATCTTATTTTTCATCGTGCCAACAATGATTATAGCTACTATGTCACAGAGCTATTTCTAGGATTTCACAGGGGGATGTCCATAAAGTATCTGCCATGGACCCATTCAATTCAGAGCACTTACCACTGTACTAATCCTAAGCCATCCACTACAGAAGCCACTAGCCCTATGTGGTTATTTAAATTTAAATTTGAATTAATTAAAAAATTACACTCATTTTTTTTTTTGAGATGGAGTCTCTCTGTCACCAGGCTGGAGTGCAGTGGTGCTATCTCAGCTCACTGCAACCTCCACCTCCCAGGTTCAAGCAATTCTCCTGCCTCGGCCTCCCAAGTAGCTGGGATTATAGGCGTCCGCCACCTGCGCAGCTAATTTTTGTACTTTTGGTAGAGACGGGGTTTCACTACGTTGGCCAGGCTGGTCTCGAACTCCTGACCTTGTGATCCATCCGCCTGGATCTCCCAAAGTGCTGTGATTACAGGCGTGAGCCACTGTGCCCAGCCTTTTTTTTTTTTTTTTTAAGACATGGGATTTTGCTCTGTTGCCCAGGTTGAAGTGTTATGGCATGATCACAACTCACTACAGTCTCGAACTCCTGGTCTCAAGGGATCCTCTCACCTCAGCCTTTCAACTAGCTGACACTAAAGGCCTACATCACATTACCTGGCTAATTTTTTTTTTTTTTTTTTGGTAGAGATAGGGTCTTGCTATATTACCCAAGCAGGTCTCATACTCCTGGCCTCAAGTGATCCTCCCACCTCGGCCTCCCAAAGTGCTTGAGACAACAGGCATGAGCCACTGTTGTCTGGCCAGAAAGTCAGTTCTTTAGTGGTGCCAGCCATATGTCAAGTGCAAAAAAAAAAAAAAAAAAAAACACACACAAAACACACACACGTGCACACATACACACACACACACACACACACACACACACACACACACACACACGGAGGCCAGGTGTGGTGGCTCATGCCTGTAATCCCAACACTTTGGGAAACCGAGGTGGATCACCTGAGGTTGGGAGTTCAAGATTAGCCTGGCCAACATGGGGAAACCCCGTCTCCACTAAAAATTTAAAAAAATTAGCTAGGCATGGTGACAGGCACCTGTAGTCCCAGCTACTCGGGAAGCTAAGACGTAAGAGTTGCTTGAACCCAGGAGGCAGGGGTTGCAGTGAGTCGCTATCACACCACACACCACTGCACTCCAGCCTGGGCAACAGTGAAAGACTCCATCTCAAAAAGTAATAATAATAAAAAATGAAAATAAAAATATAAAAATTAGGTGGGCATGGTGGTGCATGCTTGTAGTCCCAGCTACTCGGGAGGCTAATGCAGGAGAATCGCTTGAACATAGGAGGCAGAGGTTGCAACGAGCTAAGATCACGCCACTACACTCCAGCCCGGGTGACAGAGCGACTGAGACTTTGTCTCAAAAAAAAAAAAAGAAAACCCCGTGGAGCCAGGGGCTACTGAACTGGACGGTGTGATTCAGAACATGCTCATTATCGTGGGAAGTTCTTCTGGATGACACTGCACCAGACGATGAAGAATGCAACTATTTGTTCAGTCCTCTCAACTCCTTTGGGTCCCTCTGCAAATGACAGCTCTTCAACCTTCCCAACCATCCACTTTTGTTTTTGTTTTGTTTTGTTTTGTTTCGGTTTTTTTTTTTTTTTTTTTTTTTTTTTTGG